AGGGTTAGATGGGTCGGGTGTTCTGAGGGGGTCAGTCAGGGGGCGGGGGCCAGGCCGTTTGGGGAGGCACAGACTTCCCTATTCGGCCCTCCATACAGTTTTGAAACCCTGATGTGGCCCTCGGGCCAAAAAGTTTGCTCACCCCCAGTTTAAACAGACATTTAATTACTCCATGGATATTCATTTCAGTAGTTTAACTTCTTTCACTTTTAAATAAAGATTGGGACCCCCCTACTTCAACTTTAGTAATAATATAAAATCCAATAATGTGCAATACTAGTAAAAATATTAAAATATTCGAAGCTTACTCACCTGGCATTATCTCCAGTAGTTTAGTTTTCCCTGCCACTCTCGTTCGCATTCTAATATCTTTGTTTCTGCGTGGAACAGTTTCTGCTAAAATGCCATTGGGCCAAAAGGCATCTCTGTAACAAATACAAAAACAAGCCTATCAAAACAAGTTCTTTAAAAAAAATATCAAATTTTTAAACCCTGTGAGCTATCTCATAGCATAATGTGAACAAACTGAAGGCATTCAGAGATTACGTTGACATGCAAAAATCTTTAATACTCAAAATGCTTTTGATGATCATTTGAGGTGCATTTCAGAACTGGTAGAAGAAAATAAGAATTTCTTGCTTGTCAATTCTTTTTTTAAAAGGAACATAGCTCAGCAATGTTACTAACAGTTGCATACTACTCTCTATGTACTCCAGTATGGGAGTCTGTTGCTTGAGCCTCTTGGGGAAATTTACACACCCACACCTTTCCTGCCAAAAACATCCAAATACTCCTGAATTTATTAGCTATATGTAACTTGTCTACAAATCACTTTATATCAATAAGTCTCTCTCTCTTTTAATAACAACAGACTCAAATTTTTTGGTAGTAAAACTCAAGATGATGACTTGCTTTGGAATGTTTGATCTGTGTGACAACAATGCTGCTTGCATTTTTGACTTTTAAAAAGGGTCCAAACATTGGGCTTCTTTTTATTTCTATTTACAATTAGAGGACATATAGACTCTCAGTATTCTTAATTGGACAATTCAAGGAGAGAAATGAGGAAAATGTAGACAATCCTGCTATCCTATCAATGAAAACTGTCTTAAAATTTTGTCTATTAATAACTTTTTAGTTTCAAACATGTACATTATCTAAGGAAATGTATGGACTGAAAGTTCCAGTCTCTGTAATTGTCTGTCTTGCTAGTCAATCTGCCTTTACTCTATCTAGTCTATCTGCAATTACTCTGTTGGATAAATGACAAACGCTGAAGTTACTTATTTGGAACTACTGTTTTGGAAAGGTATTCAATAGAGCCTCACAGTTGGGCCCATGCCATATATTAATGACTAGAGTCAGAACAATGTAAAACCCACATTTTGAGCTCTTACATTGCTGGGAAAGCAGTTTCAAGTTGATACATAACTGCACTCATCCACATAAAACATGGACCACTGTCTGGAGATCTAGTCTACCTTTGGAGAAACTATGAAATTCACTCAGTAATTCCAGTGAGAGATGAAACCTCTGCAACATCCTCACATATAGTCTTGTCCATATCTAAACAGACTGGAAGAGAGTGTCCAGAAGACTAATGTCACAGACCCTTTGTTATGGGGTCTGTTAGTACTATCCTTTGAATCTTTAGGTATTTCTCTCTTCAGATGAAAATACCTGTCAGATATCCATCTTCTTTGCTAAACAGGCAATCTTGTGAACCATGTTTCTCAAGAGCTCATTCTACATATCTTATGACTATTTTAGCACGTTCTTGAGGCTTCTACAAGGACAGCATTCTATAAGTGATGTAGTACAAATAGATTCCTTTAGCTCATACTTTTTAAAAAAACTGATGATTACTCGATGGGCTGAAAGTTCCAAAAGAAAGTTCAAGTGTTATGAATGTATAGATCAGGGATAGGCAACCTATGGCATGTGTGCCAAAGGTGGCACGCGAGCTGATTTTCAGTGGCACTCACACTGCCTGGGTCCTGGCCACTGGTCCATGGGGTGCTGCTTTTAATTTTAAATGAAGCTTCTTAAACATTTTAAAAACCTTATTTACTTTACATACAACAATAGTTTAGTTATATATTATAGACTTATAGAAAGAGACCTTCTAAAAACATTAAAATGTATTACTGGCATACGAAACCTTAAATTAGAGTGAATAAATGAAGACTCGGCACACCATTTCTGAAAGGTTGCAGACCCCTGATATAGACAAATATTAGTAATAACCTGTGGCAAGGTTTTAACTACAGTAATTGTTGCTGCTCCTGCTATAACATATTATACACTTGCATGAAAAAAAAACAAGCCACTTCACCCATCATTGGAATGAAACTTAACTACTGTTTAAAAGTATAAAACAATTTTGCAACAGTTTAGAACAGGTACTGAATAACTTACCCCTTTCCAAAAAAGAAAAATTAAAAAGACTAGCCACAGAATATTCTCTGTTCAAGTAATGAATAATTTATATATCATAAAATCTTTACAAAGCAGGATATAAACTACCTATCTAAATCTTGTATAGAGGCAGAATTTCTGGTGTGAAGTGGACTCACTGTCTCTGACAGCTTAAACTGATTCCATTGCTGAGGTAGGAGGACAATCGTTAAATATCAGTTGGCCTATACGGGTATCAGTTTATATATTTTTTCAATAAAAAAGTATATATAAAACACACCTGAAGCGTTTCACTGCATCTGCTACTTGCTCAGGAGACGTCATCGAGTCAACATGATCAACTATTTTTCTAAATTCAAAGTGAGACGGATCAGTGATCTCTCTCATTTTACTTTTCAAAGGGCATCAGGAAGCAGAGTTCTTTAAGTAAAGAGTGCTTTAAAGTAGTTAAAACTTCAAACAATATTCAAGAAAAACAAAAAAGTGCATCATCTCTCCTTTTCACCATTCCACAGATAGAGTATATCAAGTTATCACACCAGAAAGCCGTGTGTTCATTCTCGGTCTCACTTAAGGTTTAAATTCACCCATTTTGAATACTTCTAAAGTTAAATATGTTTACCCCAACAGAAGTAGGAAAGAAAAAGGATGAAGAAGGGTGGAGAACAGAAGAAGCCTACAACCCAGATTGCCATTAGGTAATTTACCTTCTTTCCCATCCTACAAACAGAACATTAGATCATTACATCATATCGATGCAGAAAGGAGAGCAATTAAAGAATTTTCAATTTTCAGCCACTCGATATTATACCTTTGTTTGCTAGACTGAAGAGACCATTATCAAATTTCAGTTTCCAATAGGTATGTATGGACTGCAATCAAGTCACCCCTTAGACTCAAGGAGCTCAATCTATTTATCTTATCAAGAGAAGGCTATCTATATTAAGGCATGTTTTCTAATCCTTTAATCATTGACGTGGCTTTTCTCTGAATCCTCTCAAACTTATCAACATCCTTCTTGAATTATGGATGCCACAATGGGACACACTATTCCAGCAGTGCCAAATACAGAGGATAAAACCTCTCTACTCCTACTCGAAATTCCTTTGTTTAGGTATCCAAGGATAACATTAGTCCAATTGGCCACAGCATCTGACTGGGAGCTCATGTTCAGCAGACTATTCACCATAACCCCAAAATCTTCTTCAGAGTCACTGCTTCCCAGGATAGAGTCCCCATTATGCAAGCATGGCCTACATTCTTTTTTCCTAGATGTTTACATTTACACACATTATTTGCTTGTGCCCAGTTTACAAAACATCCAGATTGCTCTGCATCAGCGACCTATTATCTTCATTGTTACCACTTCCCCCAATTTGTGTGTCATCTGCAAACTACCAGTGATGATTTTCCATTTTCTTCTGGATCACTGATAAAAAAAATGTTAAATAGCATATGACCAAGAACCACCCCCATTCAATGATCATTCACATTTACAATTACACTTTGAGACCTTTCAATTAGCCAGCTTTAAACTACCGGTAACTTAATTTGTGATATATTAATTTTGTATTGTTCTAGTTTAATCAAAATGTTGTGAAGTACCAAGTCAAATGCTTTACAGAAGTCTATTCCATCAGCCAAACTAGTAATCTCACCAAAAAAATGTTATCGAGTTAGTTTGACAAGTTCTATTTTCCATAAACCCATGTTGATTTGCATTAATTATATTACCCTCCTTTAATTTTTTATTTATCAAATCCCATATCAGGTGCTTCATTATCTTGTCTGGGATAGATGTCAGACTGACAGGCCTATAAATACCTAGATCATCCCGTTTACCCTTTTTAAAATAATGCCACATTAGCTTTTTTACAGTCTTCTGTAATGTCATGTTCCAAGACTTACTAAAAATCAACATTAACCATCCAGAAAGCACTTCAGCAAGCTCTTTAAATACTCTTGGATGCAAGTTCCCTGCACCTCCTTATTTATTAAAAAGTGTCTAATTTAGTAGCTGCTGTTTAACATAAGATACCAATGGAATGGAAGGTGTGTTATCATACAGTATGACTTCATCTGGCTTGTTTCCAGAACAAAAATATGTATTGAACAATTCTGACTCTTCTCCACTAGTAATAATTCTCCCATTTCTATCTAGTAATTGACCCATACCATTGTTAGGATTTTTTTCTTCCTAATATACTTAAACTCCTTATCATCCTTAACTCTGGTAGCCATAGATATCTCCTTGTGTCCTTTTGCTTACTTTATCAATTTTCTACAATTCCTAGTTTCTGATTTATTTTCATTACTATCAACTTCCCCTTTCTTCCATTTGTTATATATTCTTTTTAATGTTTTACAGATGCCTTCCATTCCCTTCTAAACCTGGTTCGTTTTAACCAATACAGCCTTCTTTTTCGATTGTAGGACTGTGGCTTTTAAAGTGTTCTTAAACAATTCCCAATCATCAATTAAATTTTTCTGATTAAATTCTTCTTCCCCAATTTATTTGGCTTAATTGTTTTCAGCTTTGTGAAATTGGCCCCTTTAAAGCAGTGGTTCTCAACCAGGCATCCGGTACCCCCTGCAGGGCCGTGAGCAAGTTTCAGGGGGGCCGCCAAGCAGGGCCAGTATTAGACTCGCCCAGAGCAGAAAGCTGAAGCCCTGCTGCATGGGGGTGGAGATGAAGCCTGATCAATATAGCTTCACAGGGGCCATTGTGGCATAGATCCCAGGCAATTGCCCAGTTTGCTACCCCCTAATGCCCGCCCTGGCTTTTATATGCAGAAAAACGGTTGTTGTGACACAGGTAGGCCGTGGAGTTTTTGTAGCAGGTTGGGGGCAGCTTCCCGCCCCCCATATTATAGGCAGGACACAGAAACAAGTAATACCAGTTTTAATAGAGTGCCACTCCTCCTTCCCTTTTGCCCACTCAATCCTTTTTAATTAATTAGATTATAGTGATTGATTTTAATATTCCAGTCATGTGAATCATCTTACCTGGTTTCAATAATACCAACTACATTTAATTTATGCTCATAAATGAGCAACTTCTGTTGCTCTTTTTTGCTATCCAGGCTCCTAGTACTGGTGCCCAAGCAATTAAAAATTCTCTTTTCTTCATGTTGATTCCTTAATTAATTTTGTTCTCAGCATCTCGATTTTGTAATGAGTGTTCATATCTCCCCCTTTCTTCTTCTTTACCACACTTCTGAGTTCACTGAAGTCATCCTATCTGCGAGATATCCCATGACGCAGTGTCAATAATGCTGATATGAACGATCAGTAATGGACCCTTGCTGGTCGACTTCAAAAGCCTATCCTATCTTAACTCCAGGAACGCAGCAAACCATCCTGTAGTCCACCTCTGCCTTGCAGAATGTGCTTCCAATTCTTCTGAGTACTGAATCCTCAACAAGGATCATTTGTTTTGCTTAGATGGTTGGTGATCTCTGTGCGCAAGCTTAATTTTCTTACAGATTTGCATCCATGTCTCCCCATCTCTCTCCATTTCCTTGGATCAACAGGATTTTGAGAGATATATTGCACAGTTTCTACACTGAGCTGGCCACTATGGAATTGGAGAGAGGCAAAATCAGAGAGGAGGTTTGGCAGTTTATAACCACCAGAGGCAAGAGTCAAGGTGGCATGCTATACAGCTGGAGACAGATGAGATGGCAGGCTGTGGCCACCAGAGAGAAGAGAATCAGGAGAAATTCCACACAGCTAGATGGTTCCAATTGATTCTAGCTGCGTGAAATTCCTCCTGATCCTCTTCTCTCTGGTGGCCACTGCTTGCCATCCTCATCTGTCTGCAGTTGTGTAGAATGCCACCTTGACCCCTTGCTTCTGGTGGTTATGACCTGCCCAACCTTGTACCTGGGAGCTAACTTATCAGCTTCTTTGATTCTCAGTAGCATTTCTATTTCACCTTCCAATCCAAGAATCTTTTCTTCCATTATAGCCACCAACTTCATACAGAGGAAGTACCTCCTGGCTTCAGGTAGGCAAGAAAATATAGCACATCTGTTGCAGGTCACCACCACTGCTCCATTGCTGGCCATTGTGGAATCATACATAGAGCTGTAACTGGAAGGAAAGCCTCACACGGTCCCCTCCAAACTTCCTCTGAAACTCTCCTGTTATCTGCCTTTGTTTGCAGCTCTCAAGTTTGCCTAGCAAGTGACTTTTTATATTAAGTCTCCCAGTTTAGCTCAGCTCCACCCCGTAACACCAGGGTGTGATTAACCACTCAGACTTCAAACATCAGGGTTGATCAAAGGTCCAAGGGTCAAAGCACACAGCCCTTACCAAGGCACCAACAAACACCTGTCTCAGCTGCTTACTCAGGGACCCATGCCCAGCTACACAGACCATATGCAGAGAACAAACACATCACTCACCAAGTCCTGCTACCTCCAAGCACATAAAAAATGTTTGGAGATAGTTATAGTCTCTTCCCTTCTAGGCTGAAGAGGGTAAGTGAAGTTATTCCTTATACAAGATTAATAATTTACAATTTGCTCTGTCTCCTGCTTCTGGGTGGGTGGATTCATGGAATTATGTAACTGTGTCCTATTAGTGGAATGGGGAAATGGGAGATTAGAATAGTGCTACTTCACCGTAATCTTTGAAACCATTTGCGAGACAGAATATGGATGAAACAGAACTGCGTTTGGTCTCTAAAGTGATCATGGCTTTTTAAAAGAAGTATAACAATTCATGTACATTTTAATATAATTATAAATCAAAAGTCTTGATGGTCTTAAATAAACTGCTTAACATGCTGAAATAGAAAAACTAATACAGTAAGTTCCTATATCATTACTTATTAGAGCTGACAGGGAAAGTTTTGCCATCCAACAAAAATTGGACATATCAAAACATTTTCCCATGCCAAATCAGATGAAAAGTCAAAATCTCATACTTTCATGAATGGAAAAATAAAAAAACATTCAGTTTGGGCCAAAACATTTTGTTTCTATAATTTCTAAATACTTTGTTTTGATTTCAACCATTTAATTTTTTCCCCTATATTAAATTTTTCCTATATTAAATTTTTTAATGAATAGCCATTTAAAATGGGAAAACTGGAATTTTTCATTGTGAAAGCATCAAAATGAAATGGTGACAATTATGATTTATTTTTCCAAAAAGTTTTTGAGTCTCAAAGTTTATTAAAACCACCCCTTTCCCATGAAAAGTTTGAGCTTTAACAAATTGGCATTTTCCAACAAAAAACATCTTGTTGACACCAGTTCTAATACATAGAGTATAACTATGTACAATACATCCAGTCTGGTAGATTGTAGGGCTTCATTTATGGCCATTTGATTGACTCAAGTGTTTAATAGCGCAAGAAGTAATAAATCTTATAAACAGTTGCACACTATAAAAAGTAAAGTTTACACAACGCTTACACAATGTCAACATTAGTTGATAGTTCTAGAAGTATGAATTCATTATATTAACATATGCAACAAATTTTTAGAGAAGTTTAAATAAGATGCATTCCATGTCTTATGCAACAGACACTAAAAATGACCTTTTAAAAAAATCTGTTTCCATCTCATTCCATCTTTAACGATCTGTTTATAATCTCAGAAAGAAAAAACTGCGTTCAAGCAGTGAGCTTACATTTGCAGATGCACAATGATTAGAACATTACAACTAAGTAATAGAGGATAATTTTCTAGACATGATTCACAAACTCTCATACAACTATTGAGCATGAATTAAAAAACCTGGTACCTATTGATCGTGTCTCCATATGTTGCTCTAATAAGCTGTTGAAGTAGATTTTTTATATTTCTTCTTAACCACTGATTTCTCTCCTTTAAATCAAAGACTTCATCCATAAGGAGCAGCATTACTCTAAGAGGGATATTGTCATCCACCTAGATATGAAGAGTAAAAGGCAAAGTATAAACAGAAAACCTGTATTCCAGCTCAGGCAATTAAGGTAACATTTACCACAATTGTTAAAGTTAAGAGTCTTAGTGCTTCCACACTAAGTCACATGCATTGTCTTTCTGAAAGAAGTCAATAATTAAAAGAGTTTCCTATGGTCTGAAATCTCTCTTTCCCAGGATGGAATCATTCATGGCTTTTAATTTTTAAATTAAACTAGGTTTAAGTATGGTCTTTTAAAAATATGTCCTAAAACAGAATCTACTGCAGGGGTCGGCAGTCTTTCAGAAGTGGTGTGCCAAGTCTTTATTTATTCACTCTAATTTAAGGTTTCACGTGCCGGTAATACATTTTAATGTTTTTGAAGGTCTCTTTCTATAAGTCTATAATACAATAATAATTTAGTTATATATGTAAAGTAAATAAGGATTTTAAAATGTTTAAGAAGCTTCACATTTAAAATTAAATTAAAATGCAGAGCCCCCCCTGGACCGGTGGCCAGGACCCGGGCAGTGCGAGTGCCACTGAAAATCAGCTCGTGTGCCGCCTTTGTCACGCGTGCCATAGGTTGCCTACCCCGATCTACTGCATTACTGAGGCCAGGATGCATTACCGAGGCCAGTTCAGAAGCAGATACAGAAGGTGGCAGCAGTATTACTTAGAGGGGTATCTTATTCTTCTCTTCTTCAGATAGCAACAGTGCTTCCAAGAGCGAAGCGGAAACTCAAGGAGTGGCTTTTGTCTGGATACCCTTTCTTTTGAATGCAGTAGTAGCAACAGTGGCTCTGAAAGGAAGGTGCCCAATTGTAGACCACTCTTCCATTTCTACAGAACCCAAACTTTTCTTCTTTGAGTTCAATCTGAGCCTGATGCAGAAGTAAGCTGTCAGTATTAGATGATTCCACAGGACCTGTGTTTTTAACTTAGCAGTGGTGGGGAGACAAAGTTCTGTTGTCTTCAAATGCTTCACTGTGGTTCTGTAGTAAAAATTGTGTTTATTTTTAAAAGTTGCATAGGCTGCTGTTTTACAGTGACACTATATTTACAGAGATATTGCAAAAAGATTTATAGCTTCAAATACTAGATATTTAACTTAAAAGACTATTGTGAAATTGCAGTAACTGTTAATCTTTATATTGATTTTTTTCAATTTTTATCTTAGCATTTTATATTGATATCCATCACTGTAGTATCTGACCATGTCAAAAACAATCTGAAAAATCTGATAACAAATGTCTCTTTATAGGTGAGCAGTAGGGTCTATTATCCATGTGTTGTATGGTACATATACCAAAATATAAGTTTACAGATTGACAGACACTATTAGGTAAATAACTTCATTTTTATCCAATACATTTACATGTAAGACAATAACTTATCTAGAGCAGCCATTTCAACATATGAAATCAACTCATGCTAGATTGTGAATCAGCCAGAAGTGGTTATTAAAAAACAAAAGAAATCCACACAAAAATATTAACTGAGTTTCTTGGTTTTTATTCCAATTAGTATTGTTTTAACAAACCTGTACCCACATGGAACATAAGAAAAGTCTAAGAAAACTTATTGTGCCCTCTGTAAATCTCTGATGTAAAGGGTGAATTCACTGCTTCAGGCAAAAATTTCAAACTAAGCATGCTATTCAGTCACATTTAAATATCTTACAGAAAGGCTTTACTCTAAAAAGCGACTAAAATGGAATCTACTTCCTTAACTGATATTACAACATTACTATATTTTACTCCTGTAAAAGTCAATTGCAGAGTCAATACAACTATGGGAAAAGTTAGTTCACAAGGTTCTAACTGCAGAGACAAACTGTTTTTACTTGTGCAACTCCATTATATTCAATGAGATAGTAAAGATGTTTCCAGGGCTGGCTCCAGCGTTTTTGCCGCCCCAAGCAGCTGGGGGGGGGGCGGGGGGGGAGAGGAAGGGGGCCGCGATCGGCAGCAGCTCCACCGCACCACTTTCTTCTTTGGCGGCAATTCGGCAGCAGGTCCTTCCCTCCGAGAGGGACAAGGACCGTCCGCCGAATTGCCGCCGAAGAGCTCGACATGCCGCCCCTTCCCCTTGGCCGCCCCAAGCACCTGCTTGCTCAGCTGGTGCCTGGAGCTGGCCCTGGGTGTTTCAGAAGGCATAATTTGCCAACAATGGAGTTGCACAACTATAGTTGAGAGCAGAATTTCCACATGCAATTGGAACTAAAGCCAAGATTTGAAAAATAGTTCCCTATACTTGAACGCAGCCAAAAAGGACTTGGTGCCTAATTCCTACTGAATTTCAATGGGATTTGGGCACCTAACTCTCTAAGGATCCCTTAAAAAATCCCAGCCTAAATCGATATACTTAAGTAAATGGCTAGATTTTCAAGAGTGCTCAGGATGCAACACCAATTACTGAAGTTGGGGGCTCAAGAACTGGTTCATATTTTGGAACCTAAATATAGACTTTGAAGCCTAATTTCTCTTTTTGAAAATTTTAGCCTTAGTTCACAATTTTGTTAGTGAGATATAAGCCAACTAAATCTTCCTTATACTATTGATTCTTTGCAATGCTAACAGAAGAGAAATGTAGTAAAATTATATTATCTAAAGGTTTGACTATGAATTTCCTGGCATTGTGTGAAGTTCAGGAAAAGTTCTAAATGTAAAATATCCTGAAATATGGTGCAAAATTCAAATGTCCAAACACTACTCTTTCAAAATGAACTTTTAAGACTAAGTAGATGCTACACTTTTTCAGAAAAATTGAACTGCAGAAAAAGGGATGTACAGTAATTCTAACTTCTGCTCATTTTAGTGCTAAAATGGTATATATGTACTTTCTATGTTAATCTGTTTTGGCTGAGCTCAGTGTCTCAGAATACAAGAAATTCCAAAGTAATCAAAATCTATAGATAAACAATTGTATTAGATGAAATCATTGCAAAACAAAAGAACTGAAGCCTTTGTTACTTGAGCAAAACAGCATTTACCAGAGCCCTGGTAGCAGTTATGCACATGAAGACAAACTGGAATGCTTTGATGTGACAAATAAAAATGTGAAGTGTGGAACAGGTGCAGATTTATGACCATGACAAATCTGCATATAATCACTAGTAATCTAAAGGGCCTTCAGTCCTAGTTACGGATAAAAGATTTTATTCAACTATGTTTCACACATATGATCAGTGTATCAATCAGAACACTGGGAAAATACCATAGCTTATGAGAACATCAAGAGCTTAACATTTTAAACTTAACTATCACGTTTCTAATATTTTTTCCTTTATGTACTTCAGGGTCCACAGATTGAACATTGATTGTTTAGGAATTTTTTTTTTAAGTTGTCTTTAAAACAATTCTCTCTGATCACCAATACTGACGATGTTGGCTAGTTTTAAAGATCTCAGAATCAAATTTAGCTGAATACTATTAAGACTGCAACCCTATTCTATCTTTGAGGATAGTCACAGAAGTAATAATAGATAGGCAACATTTACCACATTACCATGCACACCATTTAGTATTAAAACAGCTTCTAAACATTTTAGAATGAAATGTGTCAATTTTATTTCAGAACATTTTTAATTTTTTTTACTTTAAAGTGCTGTTTCCAATTTTCCCTCTGGTGTAATTTCTGATGCCAATAAACAGTATAGCATAGAGCAAGTAAACAATACAAATTGAAACAAAATACACATTGCTACTTTAAAATTAAGTAGCTAAACAAATCTAAAATAAAAATCAGACTCACATTGTCATCAAGCTGTGCGGCAACACGGCAATGTTCAGGATCGGAATCAGTTTTCTGCATTAAAGGAGGCACCTATACTCAAAATAATAATAAAAAAACCCCATGATTATGAGGGAAAAATTACAGGTCTCAAGGAAACCACCAAAGAGAACCTCTAATTACGACAGAACCAATTTCAAAATTTCAGATACAGTCTTCATTACTGACTATCAAGCATTTTGATTCCAATTTAGTGACATATCAAGATATATCAATGGTTGCATATTGAATTATCTTCCAGCATAGCTTGAAACATGTTTCCCAATATAGTTATCAAAACTGTATGAATATCCTCAAGAAAAAATCCCACATACACATTTATATTAAAAATTATCATAGGAACTATCAAACGAAGAAACTGATGGTTTGTCTAGTTCTATATGCCTTCTCAGATAATGGCTAATTCTTCAGAGAAAGATGTAAAACCCATCAATCCATACTGTAGAGCCAACAGTGGACATGTCTTCCTGATCTCAGGCCCCTGAAGCATGAGGATTCATAATCCTAGATCTCTCTTTGTGACTATAACTGTGTTATCCTTATTCATGTAATTGGGAAGCTTTCCAAAAAGGGAGGCTCAGGTGAGGCCCAATCTTTGTTTTTTTACAAGTAATAGTTTTATATTTTATATGACCCCAGACTCACTCTTCCCCTTCCAGTTTTGAGGAAGAAGGGCCCTCACCTCAGCTACTGGTATAGCTACAGCTATAGTATAGGTGAACCTTACAGACATAAAACCACAAAGTACCTCCCTTGAGGAGCTAACAATCTTAATTATCTGCAACCAAAAAAAAAAAAAAGTGGGAGAGTAGAAAGGATAAGGATGCAAGAGGGAAAACAAAATATTTTCACAGGATTTATGGTTGGCATTCATCTTGTTCCACTTTTTATTTATACTTTTAAAAATGTGCTATATTTTAGGGGTATTAGATCACGTGTGAACAAGAGTAGATAAAGAGGAATTTGGTGGAAAACTGGGGAAAGAATTGTTCCAACAAAAGCAGAACAGAAACGGCAAGCTAAAATTTAAGGAAAAGTCCTGTATTAAACTTAATGTAGAATTGTTTCTCTGATAGGGTGACCAGATGGCAAGAATAAAACATTGGGATACACGGCTCACAGCCCCACTGGAGCCATGGGGAAGGGGAGCGCACAGCCCCAACAGCAGCCCCACCGCAAGCCGTGCGTCAATGGGGGAGCGGGGGTGTGTGTGTTCAGGGTGCTGACTCTGGGAGGGAGTTTGGGTGTGGGCTGCTGCTTATCTCAGGCAGTTCCCTGGAAGTGGCGACATCTCCCACTGGGTCCTAGGCGGAGGTGCGGCCAGGCAGCTCTGCGCACTGCCTCACCCACAGGCGCTGACTCCCACAACTCCCATTGGCCGGGAATGGGGGGCAGCATACAGAGCCCCCCTGGCCATCCCTGAGCCTAGGACCCAGAGGGAGATGTCACCAGGGAGCTGCACAGAGCCAGGTAGGGAGCCTGCCAGCCCCACACCAACCGGACGCCATCACTGGGCTACCTTACAATATCAGGACAAATGGCTTCCAAGTCATACATCCGTCAGGACATTATCGGGTTAAATATTGGGATAGTCCTGATTTTTTTGGGACGTCTGGTCATCCTAATCTCCAATAAAATCTCTATATTATTTTTAACAGACCCTACAGTAAGCATCTTTCCACTGTTAAATTCTACAGGTTTTTAGAGTAATTCCTATAGACCCTCATTAAAACATTTAGAGGATCCTGTTGATTTTATCCTTTTTGAATACTTTTCCATGAGGTTGAAATTACGTGGGGTTTAGGGTGGAAAACACAATCACTAATCTGTTCCTGTTGCAACAGCTTGAGCATTCCACTGCCATGCACTACTGAGTGTAGACATGAAGGGTGGAGCTGGCCCCAAACTCCCTCAATTCCTTCTTGTCAGAAAAGCTCCCAATCAAAGGGGTAGGAGGGCAGGTCATATAATGGTCACATGCAACACATCTCGAAGCACAAATGTTACAGAACAGGTAAGTAAGTTTTTTCTTGAGTGCTTGCATACGATTGCATTCCACTCTTAGTGACTCAAAAGCCATGAAAGGGATGGGATTGGAGCCTATCTGAACAAAGACTGAAGGACAACTCACCGAAATCTGGCATTATTTCTAGCTTGTTGAGTGATAGCATAATGGGAAGCAAATGTGCACCAAAGACCAAATTGCTGCCTTACAAATATTTAGGATAGCAACTTTACCCAGGAAGGCCACAGAAGCTGCTTGCGGTCTTGTCACACTGCCTGGTGGGATAACATTAGCTAAACAGAAGCACAAGAAAATACACGAGGGTATCCAAGATTCTCTCTCCGAGAAGGAACTGGGAGCTGCGTCACACTGTCTTTAACTGCCAAAAAGAGCTGAGAATACTGATGTAACTGCTTGGACCTGACAAGCCTATACTCCCTTACTATCCAGAGTATGCAGCAGCCTTTCCTCATCTTTATTCAGGTCTGGCTTGGGAAAGAACGAAGATATAGGTAAATCACCTGGTTGACATGGAAGTTAGATACCATTTCCAAGACAAACTTCGCATGAGGACACAGGTAAACTTTGTCTTTAAAGAAAACAGTATAACGCAGAGCAGACATCTGGGTCCGCAGCTCACCCACCCTCCTAGCAGAAGCAATGGCCACCAGAAATGCTGCCTTCATTGAAAGATGCAGTAAACAAGTAGATAAAGGCTCAAAAGAAGGACCCATACGCTTTGACAATACCAAGTTTAGGTCCCATGGAAGAACAGGATCTTGTACCTGAGGGCAAAAACAAGGAGTCCTTGTGGCACTTTAGAGACTAACCAATTTATTTGGGCATAAGCTTTCATGGGCTAAAATCCACACCTGACAAAGAAAGTGGGTTTTAGCTCACAAAAGCTTATGCCCAAATAAATGTGTTAGTCTCTAAGACGCCACAAGGACTCCTTGTTGTTTTTGCTGATATGACTAACACGGCTACCACTCTGAAACCTACCTGAGGGTACAATCTTTCCAGGCCTTTCAAAAATCTTATTGATATTCTATTAGAAAAGACAGACTGTTATCTACCTGAGGATTGAAGGCCAAGATATCTGGTAAGTGGATCTTGATGGAACTAATGGCCAACGCTTGCAGTTTCAGATACAAAAGGTAGTCCAAGTATGCTGGATTGAAGAATGTATCGGCAAAACTAGACTAATGAGACCAAATAGAGAAACACTTTAACTTAGAGAAGGAAGTAAACCTAGTAGATAGTTTTCTGCTATTCAATAGCACATCTAGAAGCTCTTTTGAACAGGACTCCTTCCCAGCTCTAACCATAGAGCATCCACACCATTAGATGGAGTGCTTTCAGATTTGGGTGGAGCAGGCGACCAGGCAAAGCATGCATGAGATAAGAGGGAAGGGCTCCTCATGGATCAGTAACTGGTTAAAAAATAGGAAATAAAAGATAGAAATATATGGTCAGTTGTTGGAATGGAAAGCGATAAATACCAGTATCTGTACTGGGACCTGTGCTGTTAACGTATTCATAAATGATCTGAAAAGGGGGATAAACAGTGAAGTGGCAAAGTTTGCAGATGATACTAAATTACACAAAGTACAAAGCTGAGTGTGAAGAGTTACAAAGGACCCTCACAAAAGTGGGTGACTGGGTAACAAAATAGATGAAATTCAATGTTGATAAGTGCAAAATAATGCACACTGGGAAACAATCTCAACTATACATACCAAATAATAGTATCTAAATTAGCTGCTACCACTCAAGAAAGATCTTGGAGTCATTGTGGATAGTTCTCTGAAAACATCTGCTCAATGTGCATAGGCAGTCAAAAAGCTAACAATGTTAGGAACCACTAGGAAAGGGATAGATAATAAGAGAGAAAATATCATAATACCATTACATAAATCCATGGTACACCCCCACCTTGAATACTGTGTGATTTTCTGGGTGAGCCATCTAATAAGAGATGTATTAAAATTGGCAAAGGTACAGAGAAGGGCAACAAAAATTATTAGGGGCACAGAACAGCTTCCATATGAGGAGAGATTAAAGAGACTGGACAACAAGAAAGCATCCATTAGGGAACCCAGACTGACTTTGTGGGGACCAAAACTGTGGGCATTTTCTGTTGTACCTCATTGCAAACAGAATTACTTGGGAATCCCCCAGAGGTGGAAAATAGACCACTCCTGGTAACTCTCAAATGACCTCCTTAGGTGATCTGACAGCTCTATCTGCATCCTTGGAAGTTAAGAGACTTTGAGATCGATTGTGTTGGCAATACGAGAATCCCATAGATAACTGCCTCATAGCAGAACAGGGACAAGCGGACTGTGGAGATCGAACATTGACTGTGTGTGGTCTGGGAGAGTGAGCAGTTTTTTTTCCCCTTGATATGGGTTAGGAAAACCTGGCATGCCAGCTGGCTAGCTCTCAACTCTCTGACATCTATGTGAAGAGTCATGTCCTTTGTGGACCATAACGCCTATGACTGAAGGGAATCCAGATGAGCCCTGCAGTTCAGGGCAGACATATCTATTATTAGCATTAGCTATGGTTGAGGAGGGACAAATGGAACTCCTATGCAAATTTGACAGGGTTTGTCCACCAGTCTAGAGAGTATAATGTGAGTGGACACTCTAAACACAGTGTTCAAATGGTGATGGCTCAGCAAAAATACTGCGGCCAGCGAACCTTGTAGAATCCTGAGACACAATCTGGCATACCAGACCACATACTTGCAAGAGACCATGTGTTCCAGAAGCCTCATACAATTCTGTGCAGTTTTGACTGGGTAAATCTTGAGATCTAAAATAATGGATCAAATTGTCTGACACCTTGACTCTGGAAAGTAACTCTGGCTTGGATACAATCCAGTACTGCTCCTGTAAATTCTATCCTCTGAACTCATGAGAAGATAGATTTTTCTGAGTTAATCAACAGACCCAGTGACTTGAAAATTGACTGGATGAAAGATACACTGGAGAGTACCTGAACTGTGAAATGGTGTCTCTCA